ACTAGATTGTACATACCCTTTGACCCAGAAATACTGTTATTGGGCCTATATCCCTAAAGAGGTCAAAGGAAAGTGAGAAGGATTCATAAGTACCAAAATATTTATAGACCTCTTTTTTTTTTTTGGCTAGGCATGGGTTTGGCTAGGGTTAAGTGACTTGCCCAGGGTCACACAGCTAAGTAAGTGTCAAGTGTCTGAGGCTGCATTTGAACTCAGGTCCTCCTGATTTCAAGGCCAGAGCTCTATCCACTGCGCCACCTAGCTGCCCCTATAGACCTCTTTTTGCAACACTAAAAAACAGGAAACTAAATGGAATGGCTGAACAAATTACATGAATATAATGCAATGAATGAGATGGATTCAGAGAAACCCAGGAAGGCTTATATGAACTAATGGAGAATGAAGAGAACAGAACTAGGAGAACCGTTCATGCAATAAAAACAACACTATAAAGACAAATGACTTTGAAAGACTTAGGAATTCTGCTTGATGCAATGACCAACCATGATTCCAGCGCACCGATGATGAAACATACTATTCACAGAGAGGGGATGGATACAAGAAACAAAATGAAACATACGTTTTTGAACTTGGCCAATGAAGAAATATATTTTGTTTGTCTATGCATATCTGTTGAGGGATTCATTCTTTTCTTTTTTCAAAGGGGTAGGGTGTGGGAGGGACAGAGAAATGCTTGTTAATTGAAAATTAGATTTTATATATATTATATATGTATACATATATACACACAGATATATAGTGCCTATGTATGTTTTGGTATCAGCCTCACTTCTCTGAGGAAGGGTCCTGGTAGAGGATAACCTCATTCATTTCTTTTTTCAATTTACCTGGTATAATTTACTACTTATGTGAGTGAGTAATTTAGTGTCTATTTTCAAGATCAAATTAGGAAGTAAAACAGGATAGCAGAGGAAAATTTGGCCATACGTCAAACAAGAACAAAATTTTCACGATACAGATGGGAAAAATAACATGAGCTCTAAAAGGAACTCATTAAAAGAAAAGAGATTGGTGATTATGTGTATTATGTCCAAGATGGAAAACAGAAAATGAAGTATCCAGAGGGGTTCAGTTTTCTGATAATTAGGTACATGACAAGGCAGAAAAGTACAATAATTATCTGCACACAAATAATAAGCAAAGGGAGCTATGTTTTTGACTGATGATTCAGTCTAAAATGAAGTTTAAATCTATGAGAATTACATGCGAAGAACTCAGCTCTTTACAAGAAAGGCACTAGAAAAATCTGAGTTAATAGTATTTACAACCATATTTACATGGCATCATTTTCTCTATCCTCTTTATTCCCCAGATTTTTGGTCAAAGTAATGTCCCCACTTTTTTTTCCTTGCCTAAAAGTATTTGGAGTCAGAAGGCCTGGGTTCAACAATCAACAAGCATTTTATTAAGCATCTAATACACATCAGGCACATCAAATCCTGTTACAGCTACTCAGTTCCTTGAGTGACACTATCTGGGGCTCGGATTCATTATATCTCAAAGAAGGCAATGGAGGTGGCCCAGGGATACTGTGGCTTCTCCAGGGATTTACCATTTGGGGGCTGAGCCAGGTTTCTGTGATTGCATAGAGTCAGAGGACTCCCTGGAGTCCTGTGCATCCTTCTAATTCAGACACCCACAATGCCAGTCCAGTTCAAACCAGGGCATTCTCGGCAGGCAGCCACCTGAGGACAGGCAAAAGAGAGGAATTCCTTTTGGTGTGAAAAATACAGGGCTGAGAGGGGGATCAAGCATGTCTTCAACATAGCAGCCTCCTAGAGCTAGCATCTTTCCAAATTTGAAAGTGACAAGATCAAACGAAACATACGTTCACTAGAAAGACGGGTAGCTCAGGCAAGTCCCTTTACCACTCAATGAACCTTCTTTGGTGACAAAAAAAAAATTCTCTCTCTCTCTCTCTCTCTCTCTCTCTCTCTCTCTCTCTCTCTCTCCCTCTCCGTTTCTGTGTCTCTGTCTCTCTCTCCCCAGCCCTTAGCACAATGCCTTGCACTCAATTTGTGCTTAATAAATGTTAGTGGTGAACAAGGAGTTTTCTGATGAAGAAATCAAAACAATTTATTTAAAGTCATACGAAAAATGCTCTAAATAATTATTGATTAGAGAAATGAAAATTAAAACAACGTTGAGATAGTTTACACTTATCAGATTGGCTAAAATGATAGAAGGGGAAAGTGACAAATGTTGGAGGTGATGTGGAAAAATCAGCACCTTAATTCATTGTTAGTGGATCTGTGAGCTGATCCAATCATTTTGGAGAGCAGTCTGGAATTATGCCCAAAGAGTTATTAAACTGCCTGTACCCTTTGACCCAACAATACCACTATTAGGTCTGTTTCCCGAGATGATTAGGGTAAAATGGAAAAGAAACTACATGTTCTAAAATATTTATAGCAGCTCTCTTTGTGGTGGCAAAGAACTGGTAATTTCAGGGATGCCCATCAATTGGGGGATGGCTAAACAAATTGTGGTACATGTTCATGATGGAATATTACTCTGCTATAACAAGTGATGAGCTCAATGATTTTAGAAAAGCATGGAGAGATCTCCACAAAAAAATGAAGAGCAAAATGAGTAGAACCAAGAAAACATTGTATACAGTAACAGCAGTATTGTTTTAAGAACAACTTTGACCAGCCAAGTCATTCTGACTGTTATAAATGCCCAAATTAACCGCAAAGATCCCATGAAGGAAGATGCTGTTTGAACCCAGAAAAAGAATGGGCATATGTATACACACACACACACACACACACACACACACACACACACACATACAGATTTGTGTCTAATAGTAGCCATCTCAAAGTTTTGGGGTAGGGGGAGGGAAAAAGTCACTTGATAATTTTGTTGTATATTTGAAAGGAATAGCAAGTTGTACATGATGGATCTGCAATTTCAGGTGCAATCCTGTTTTTCAATCCCACTTTGTTATGGGAATGCTTGTTTTATTTCTTAAGTTCAGAATAAAATAAATAAATTTTTAAAAGTTTAAAAAACAGTAAAAATGTTAGTGGAATTGAATTCAGAGATTGTGTCTAAGACCCTAGGGATAAAAAAAAAACATATATATAAAGACACACACACACATATACGACCTATAATGAACTATTGGCCAGGGGTAGGTGCATCCCCACCCCCCCCCAATGGCCAGTGTTACACTCAGATTTGGGCGGGAGGGGTCATCTGAAACCTCTGAGCTTGTTGTCAAGGAGAACAGCCAAGATTTCCCACAATAGAGGATCTGGCCCGAGGTCACACACACAGTAAACGTAAGGGGGGGAGGAATTGGAAAACAGAGCCTTGGCTTCCAGAACTAGGGCTCTTTCCCCAGCACCACACTACCGAGTCTTTTTTTTTTTTTCTGAATATTTTTTTTTAAGAACCCATAACAGCTTTCCTCCTGCTTCCTTCAATTATGGCCCTTCAGATAGGGTGGGGTGAGGTTGGGGCTGGGGGTAGAGACAAACCCGCGGCGGGGAACTGAAATTCGTTTATATCTTTCATCATGGTGCTCACTGCTCCACTTTTTCCCTGTGAGATGCAGAGAAAACGCTGCCAGGCTAGGGAAATGAATCTGGAAGCAAAGACCGGAATAAGAAACCAAGTGAAGAGCAGGAGAAATGAAGACCCACCCGGCATAAGGGTGGGATGTTGGGGGCTGGGGAGTGGGGAAGCTACAGGACGCCATCTGCACCACTAGTCTCATCCGTGCCCATTCTCCACCGTGACTTTGCAGGAGCTAACCGAAAGCATCATATTCGAATGCATAATTGTCTCCGCGAGTATCACTTAAGAGAGGGAGGGTTAAAAAACGGTGGGAGTTTTAAATTTTGTTTGATGGATCATTTTAAAATAAAACTTCTATCTGTTAGAACAGGGTAGAGAAGTTTCTTTTAAGGAACTTGAGAAAGCTGGCGTCCTTAATTTGTAACTGCAATATGTATGGATGGATGGATGGATGGATGTGTTTGGATGTGAGGAACTAGTGTGGGTGTTTCGTGTGTGTGTGTGTGTGTGTGTAATATATATACATAAATAATATACACACATATATACGTATGTACACTCGTCTGTATGTGTATATAAATGTATATGCATGGTTATATACAAATATATCACACGTGTGCATATATGGATATGGGTACATATGTGCTTGTATGTATGTTTTATATACATACATATACATATTATATATATTATATATAATATATATACACACACACCTATTCATACATACACACATTTCCCATCTCATTGGGGAATGGGGGCTGAGCCAGATAAAAAAGCATGTCCCCGGGGAAAAACCGGGAAGCCAGACTTTTCTGCTCACATGCAAAAGGGATTGCATAAAGTATGGTCACGGTGCACGAAAGGCGTCCCTCCCCCAGGTCTGGGGGCTCAGTGCAGAAGGTGCTGGATGGCGCGCAGCTGCAGCAACAGCCACCGCAGGTGGGGCTGCGGGGATGGAACGTCCAGTCCCGTTCCCGCTGGCACGCGCGCGGGAATCAGGGTAAGGTTTGGCGGGCACCAGCCGAGAGCAGGCTGGGCCCGAACTTGGCGGGAGGGAGAGATGGCCCGGGAGAGGGTCTCCTCTGCAGTCTTGCAGACTGGGCCTTGCAAAAAGAAAAGAGAAAGAAGGGTCGGGAGGGAGACAACGCGGGACGTCAGTGGAATGGGCTCGAGAGTATGTCTGGGACGTGCCCGCCGTGCCCTGAAGGAGTATGCATATGCGTGTGTGTGTGTGTGTGTGTGCACGGGTGTGCGTGTGTGTGCATGCATGGGTTCGCACACGCCTCCGGCCACCGCCCCTAGCTTGCTGGCGCCGACCGACCGCATGCTCCCGGCTGGGCGGTGGCCAGGGTGGGCGGTGCTCTCCCGGGAAGGGGTGGGCCGGAGGCGGGGCGGGCCGCGGGGGCGGAGGGCTACATAAGGCGCGGGGCGCGCCGCGCTCTTTTGTCTCTGGCTGCAGCCGCGGGAGGAGGAGGCATAGGGAGCTGGGCGCGACCGCGGGCGAGGTGAGCTCGGCCGGGCGGGGTGCGGCTCGCGGGGACACCCCGCCTGGCCGGCAGACGCAGACCGACCGACGGACACGGCCAGCCGGCCGCCGCGCGTCCCGGCCCCCGCGCGCGTGCCCCGTGCAGGAACCGCCGCCGGGCTGTGCGGGGCTGGAGGGCGCACGGCGGGGCCGGCGGCTGGGGCGGAGGCGGGGGCGGCGGACCTGGAGCCCTCGGGCTTATGGCGGCGGCGGCGGGGCTGGGAGATCCTGACCGTGAGCGGCTGCGGCGCCGTCTTCGGGCTGGGAGACCGGCCCCGGACGGGCGGCGCGGGGTGGGCGTCCGGCGAGCGCGGGGCGGGGAGGCTCCGGGCCGGTCAGCCCTGTCCCTTTGACCCGCAGGCTTCTTCAGATCCGAAGATGGCAGACAAGCCCGACATGGGGGAGATCGCGAGCTTCGACAAGGCCAAGCTCAAAAAGACGGAGACGCAGGAGAAGAACACTCTGCCCACCAAAGAGAGTGAGCCCCGGAGCCCCTGGACCGCCCCCCACCCCACCCCGGGCATAGGCCACCCTGGGAGAGACCCCCGGACTTGCCCGTAGCCGGCCCCAACTTCCAGCCCGCCTCCCTCGGCTTTTCCCCTCCAACTTCACCCCGCCCACCTCCCCATGTGCCCACCCCTCCCTCCGCTAGGATCCCAGAACTAAAATGTATCTTCTGGTCCCGCAGCAATTGAACAAGAGAAGCGGAGTGAAATTTCCTAGATCCCTGGCGAGACATGCACCTTGAAGGGACTCCCCACCCCCTACCCCGGTCCTGGTTTCGAGGGAACATAGATAGCCACCTGCATTATCCACATTTAAAGGCAAGATGCACTGGGAAAGAGGGCCATCGACTTGGGCGGTCAGCCCTCCGAGAAGGGTTCGTCACTGGACTTCACAATCTCGAACTGCCATATCCTAACCAGATTACCCTGCAATAGTATAGAAAGTTATTTGTATGACTGATGAAAATAAAGATTACATTGTGAAATATTTGGTGTGGCCTCAGTCACTTCCATGGGTGTATGCCCTTAGTGCGTAGGAGCATGCATACAGCACATCTCCAACCTTGCCTCCAACCCCGAGGCAGAGGCAGACCTAGCTCAATGCCGAAAGGAAAGCCTGGAGCAAATGGCTGCCGCCTGCAGGACTGAATCGATGCGCAGGTGACTTTAAAAATCGAATTCCCTTTTTAACAAATTATGTAAAAATGAAGCTTTTGCTCATTGCAAGGCCTTCCTGTAACAAACTTGGAGATGCATGTTTGGACCCTGTGCTAATCTCTCTCTCGCTGTCTCTCCAGTTAACTGACAGAAAACTAAAGCCAAATTAAAATTATGTAATTGAAAATTATGAAATACACTGTATAGAAATATACCCAGTTTTCTTGATCCTAAGATACTTAATCGAACACATAGGGCTTTAGATAAAATCGGGTTAAGGGCCTCAGATTATGGATGCAAGAACAGATAAGAGAATCATCCCGGCCTTCCAGGAGCTGATCCAGAAAGGGGTGAGAGGTAGGTGATCAGGAGGGGGAGGGCAATGTAACAAGTAAATCCAAATGCCATATTGGGTAATCAAAACCTGAGCACACAGAGTGTGTGTGTCTGAGCTGTGTTGCTCAGAGCGCTTACAGTTTTAAATCTGATCCTAGGGAAATTTGAAGAGGGAGTGTGGGCAACAAAGAAGGCTTGAAGTAGGAAGTTAGCCAAATGGAGCCTTGAAGGGTGCTGGGGGTTCTGGTGAACATAAATGCACAATATATAAACTTTCCTGGGTACCTGACCTGCTCTGTGCAGGAGAGATGGGACACATACAAAGAACTGAGCAAAGCACCCTGTGAGAGTAAAAGAGAAAGTTATGATCTGGAACTGAGTTTCCCCTTGAAGCTTAAAAGGCTGGAGAAAGAACAACAGAGATGGGGGGGGAGCATTGCATTTGGAGTCAGAAAGCCTGGGTTCAAATCCTGCCTACTACTTTTACTATGTGATCTTGGGTAAATCCTTTGTCTCACTGGGTGTGAATTTCAAAAGCAAATGGATGACATATTAAATGTCCTCTGAGATCCCTTCCAATTCTAAATCTGTTAATCTTAAGAAATGCTACTTGGCACAAATAAAGGTAAGAGAGGGAGGAAGAAACCTGTGGAGATAGTTACCCCAAGAAACTAAAAAGAAAGGTTTAGAGAAGTCCACCAATGAGCAAAAACTTCATGTTGGAGCTAGTGATACTGGGGTGGGAGAAATCTGCACCTTAACTGTTTGACCATGTCCTCCCCACAATGGTCTCTTGGTGCTATTATCAGGGATAATGCTGGGCTGGGCCCCACATCTCTCCAGGGTAAAAATTCTTGAGAATTTATCACAAAAAGGTGAAACCATGGCCATTTAGGTTCACAGAGACAGATGAATAAACAAGTATTACGCCAGATACTGAGCCAGGCCCTGGAGATAACAGACAGAGAAGAAAGAGATCCTACATTCACCGAACTTATATTCTACTTAGGAAGACATGTAACAGATAGTGTCTTCTCCGTAGGCCTTTCTTGATTCCCCCCTCTCCAAATTATGTTTATTAATTTGGGTTTTTTTTTAATATATCACACAATGTAGATTGAGGTTATGAAGTCTAGACAAAAATCATGGCTGAGTGTGGTAGTGGGCCCAATAATCTACAAAAATGACCAATTTTTTTTTTTTTGGTTTTTGGTGAGGCAATCGGGGTTAAGTGACTTGCCCAGGGTCACACAGCTAGTAAGTGTCAAGTATCTGAGGCAGAATTTGAACTCAGGTCCTCCTGACTCCAAGGCTGGAGCTCTATCCACTGCACCACTTAGCTGTCCCAATCACGTAAATATTTAATCCACACAAGCACCCTATAAATACAAGGATTAAATAGGAAACGGTGTTAGAGCAGGTCAATGACTGGCCCAAATTGCACAGATAATGGGGGACCCTGGACTAAAACCCAGGTCTTATTTTGTGGGGGACAGAGTTTGAAATACATTGTTCAGCTATTTATAGTAGAATCTCAGACACGCAGAATTGAACTAGATTCAGTGCTTCTTAAACTGTGGGTCTCAACCCCATTTGGCAACAGTAAAAGATTTCTGAATGCACAGTGACCAAAACTTAATTAAAAATCAAACCAGTAATGAATCCAAGGTGTTTCTGGCAGTGCTTGCCCAGTTGGATAACTTCACTGCAGCCTTGGTTCTGAACACATGTCATTCGAACTTTGCACTGCCCAAACCCTCGGGCCATGCAATGCCAACAAAAGGGAGTGGAAAAAGTTTGAGGCCCTGGACTAGAGGATGTTGCTAATGCTTAAGATGGGCAACTGGGGGCTCAGTGGATAGAGCACTGGGCTTGAAGGCAGAAAGACTTGAGTCCAAATCCAGCTTCAGACACTTACGAGCTCTATGACCCTGAGCAAGTCACTTAACCGTTTGCCTCAGTTCCTCATCTGTTAAAATGAACCTAGAGAAGAAAATGACAAGCCTTTCTGCCAAGAAAACCTCATGGACTGTACTGGCACCATCCATGGGGTCATGAAGAGTCAGACATGAACACAACAAAGCTTAGGGCAACAATGATCAAAGCTTAATTTCAGAAGTCCTAGAAATAAATGTTTAGGGCATTTTAATCAAAAACTGTTTACTCAGCACAGAGAATAGTGGTAATAATATAATCAAGAATGTGGTAAATATAGACAATTCCTTCACTAAGAAGCATAAGACTCTGTGACTCATAAGACTGGGGAAGGAATGAAAAGATGGAAACACGAGCCCCATCAGGACTTTTACAGAGCAAGGCTTCAAAGGAGGGAGGCTCCTGGAGTGAGTGGACAGGAGTCAAGAAAAGCTCTTGGGGAAGAGGGCTGATTTCTGCCAAAGTTGAGTCAACGCTGTGCTGTAATGAGTAGGCAGGTCTGCTTGGCTGACACGAACAACTGGCAATGGTGTCATGAGACACTGTTGAAGATGCATTCTTCTAGCTGGTGAGCAGAACAGATGGGAGCAGGGGAAAACTAGAGGCATGGAGAACTTCTAAAAGGTGATTGGGGATGAAGGGATGAAGAGTTAGAGCAGAGGTTCCCAAAGTGGGCGATACTGCCCCCTGGCCTGCACTGGAACAATCCAGGGGGCAGTAGTAGCCTCGGGTGCAACTAGGGGTCATTGAATGAAAGTAAGGGGGCGGTGGAAACATAAGGAAAGAAGAGAAGATAAGAAACTTTTGAAAAACCCTTCATACATGTTTTATCTGTTGTGTAACAGAGTTAAAGTCATAGTGATTATATTATTTTCCAAATAAACACACAAAATACAAGTTATCATTCATCAGTGGTCAAGTCCACCAACAGGTCTTAACAAGCAAGTGTTGGCAGGTAGCGTCTCGTGCATTGTCAGGAAGTCCTGGCAATAATATGTACATGTAGTGACTTGTTTACAATATAATAATATACAGTTACATGATGCAATATTGCATCATCAAATTTCAATGCTGAAAAAACACAAGTTTACAATAAATTATTAAATTTAAGATGCGCCATTTTTAAAAATGTATTTTATATTTTTGAAATGATGCAAATTTAAAAAAAGAAAGTTAAAGTGTTAAAGAAAGTAGATTTCCAGGGGGGAGCACTGAGTGATTTTTTTTAAAAGGGGGGCAGTAAGTCAAGTTTGGGAACTTCTGGTCTAGATGAATGTGGTGGGTGTAGAAATTAATAGGAAGGAACCAATCAGAAAACAGAAAAGGAAGCAGCCGTGTGGTTCATGGAAAGAGTTCTGGATTTAGCATCCAGGAGATGACATCCTCCAATACCATGTACTACATTGGACAAATCACAGATTCCAGAAATGGAAGACCTCAACAGTCATCAATCCTGACTCCCATTCTTGCTACCTTGGTGACTGGGTAAGTCCTTAAATATCCCTGGGCCTCAGTTTCCTCATCTGTAAAATGCGAGGGTTGCACTAAGTGGTCTCTAAGCTCTCTTCTCATTCTACTTCTATGATCCTCATCAAATCCATTCCTAAGAGGAATCTTTTCTATCCAGATTCTGCTTGAAGTCCATCAAAAAGGGGAAATCCACTACCTTGAGAGAAAACCTATTCCAAGCTTGGACAGCTGATTGTTAGGGAGGTTTTCCTGGCAGCAAAGCCTAAACTTGCTTCTTTTCAATTTCCACCCATTGCTTGGGGATCTGACCTCTAGGGTCACACAGAACAAGTCTATGGCTTCCTCCCCAACTCTGCTCAAATCCCACCTTCTGTAGAAGGGCTTCCAGGTCCCCTTCAGCCCCTCTCCAGGGTTTGTGCCTTCTTCCCTTGGGGGTTTCCTTTCATTTCCACTGCGTACATCACTCTGTCTATCACATAGTTGCTAACATGTTGTCCTCCCTACTCAAATCTGAGCTCTGTAAGGTCAGAGATCATGTTTTTTGCCTTTCTTTGGCCTTTGCTTGGTACACAGTAAGTGCTTCATAAATGCTCATCGACTGTGATTGACCAGCTAAGCCTTTTTCCTCACGTTAGTCCTTCAAAAACTTGAACACAGCCTGTCCGAGTTTCTCTTCCAAGTTCCTCTCAGTCCTGCTTCAAGATGGCCCAGCCTCGCTTAGCTTTAGGATATCTTTCCCACACACCTTGACCTGCCTTCTTATCCAAATGGCCCACCTGCTCTTTGGCCTGGATTTCTTTCCTTCCTCCTCTGCCACTCAGCACTTTTGAATCCAGTCATTTCATGCATGAAAATCCGTTCTTACATAGCTAACTCATTTGCTATATTTAACACATTTTTTGGTCATGATTTGTCCTGTAGAATACAGACAACTGGAAACACATGGCTTGAGAAAAGGATGGTACATTTGAAGCTAGAAGGGACCGACCGGTACCGTTCCTCATTTTTGAGATGAGGAGACTGAGGTGGTGAAGTCATTGCACACAAGGTGTGAGCATCAGAGATAAGATTTTAACTCAGGTCCAGA